TTCGATCAAATGCAATATTGGGATAGTTTTGTGTTAAAGTCTTAAAACGTATTGACAAATACTTACCGCATTATTTTCCAAAAAAAATAGTCTTTGGAAGGAGAATATATCCTTCTTATTTCTTAACAGATATCCAGAGGCGGATTTTTAAATAGGCTAGCTAGGCCATAGCCTACGGCTGCAAATTTTCAAAGGTGGAATTTTTTTTGAGTGTAAGATTAATCAGTTTTTTGTATTTTGTATAAACTATGTATTTTATGTTTATGAGTGTAGGATTAATCAGTTTTTTCTATTTTGTATAAACAATGTATTTTATGTTTATGACTGTATGAACAATGTCTTTTATATTTTTAATAAATATATGTTTTTAGTAAAAATTATTGTAGTTTTTTTTAATTTACGCGGGCAATTTTTCCAAAATCAAAGAGTTTCAGCTAAAGAAATTCGGGCTTTGGTTCAAATGCATAGATTTAGACCAAGAAATTCGAGTTTTGATACAAATAACAAAACTTTTTAATCAAACGCTAATGGATTTAAAATAAAAAACCCGAATTTTGTTACAAATAATTAAATCACTTAACTTAAATGCCAATACATTTAAATCCAGACATCCGACTTTTGTTACAAATTTTTAAGAACAAGAACCTTAGATTAGATTTTGTTTTAAACCAGCTTTTCTTTATTTCAAATTTCTCCAGCCTTTGATCCAAATTAGTACCGAGTTATTAATAAAAGCACGGCATTTAAGGACCTATAATGAAGATCTTCTTCTAAATTCATGTTTCTTTGCAACAAAGACAAATCATGAAATGATCTCAAAGAAATGATATATTTGCTTAAACCCTTCATTCATTTGGACCTATCCAAAGTCCCCATTCCTTTGAGGGAATGGCAGATTTTCTTAGGGCAAAGGTTTATTTTTTTGTATATAAACAATATATCTGAGGACTTTAATTAAACTTACACAATTTTGAAAAAACTATGGATTTGGTAAGTTATATCTAATATAATTTTACAATATTAATAAATATTATTTTACGTACTATAGGTTTACATTCTAAAATAAATTTAGCAAAGGAGAGTTTTTGGTTTCAATTTGGTCATTAAGAACAATATCCGAATAATATATTATTTTTTCTTTAGTTTATTAATTTCCAAAAGACTCCAGAAGATATAGTTTGGTGCCTTTATTGGCTACATGTAAGATTATAAAGTTGTCGTAAAATTTGTGGTTCTCTTGGATTAAATGGTTAGCATATAAAGAGTCCTGTTTAAGGTTTATATAGGATTTCTTGTGTTCTTTAATTCGTATTTCCTCCAGTTTGGACTATATATATTTTTGGACAGTCTCTGCAAGTTAGTTGGTAAACGGCGGAGTTTGAGGATTTTGTTGTTTTGTCTTTGTTGTTTTTGATAAACTTACTAAGGTTGTTGTTAGTTTTAAATGCAACATTACTCCTGATTTTATTTAATAAATTAGATACATGTCTCATATTATAATACTTATAAGCTTGTATAGGAAAACTTCATTTTTGTACGCAGTTTATAAGTCAAATTAAACTGGTTTACAAATTAAAATAAAAAAAATGTATTTTTATATTTTGGTTCTTTAAGAAAGCAGCTTTACAGTTTGGGATATATCTCGGATTTGAAATGGCCAATCTGCAACCATGGTTGCAAAAAGTGTCAAATTAAACATTAGAACAAATATTACTTTTTTAGTACCCATTCAGTTAATTAGCTTAAGTTCAATGGGCTTTAATATTGAAAAAAGTCTGTTTTTGGACAAAAATGAGAATGCAACATTATTTTCTTTGCCAAGGATGAATAAAAATCATCAAAGTATGTCGATTAAATTAAATTAAATTATCTACGTGAAGTTCAAACTGTTATGAAGAAAACAATATATTTTCGAAATAAATTTATTGATAGGTAATTAAAGAGCAAGAAGTAGACATTCCATTTTTTTCGAAATAAAGTTTTTTACAAAAAAGGTTCTTTTTGCATCATATAACCTTTTTACAGTTAAATAAATTTTATTTTACATTTTAATAGTAAAATGTAATGTAATTCTGTTTTTAGTATCTTTCATCATTCTTTCATCCCAAAACCCCTGATATAGTTTTAGCGGCGAATGTTTCAAATTGCGTCATGAAATTCTGAACTAAGCACATAAATTAACAATTATTGATGTTTTATTTTACGTATATAATCCAAGGAACTGTATGTCGAGAAATCGGTTTTTGACATTCGACATTGATGACGCAATTTGAAACATTCGCCGCGACGACTAGGTATATCAGGGGTTTTGGGATGAAAGAATGATGAAAGATACTGAAAACAGAATTACATTACATTTATACAATTTTTTTTTATCATTACCTTATTTTCTTTATAAGTTTAATAATGGGCATATTTTAATGATTTTTGCTTCTTCTTGGTAACATAGTTAATAATATATTCTAGCTTTGTCCAAAGAAATTTACTTTTTTCGATATATATGGGCCTATTATACATATTGGCTGTCAACCGGTGTTATTATACACCTCCGTGCAATAGTGAAAATGCATTAAAATAACATAGAACGAGTGGTTACATCTATCGCATTTAAGTCGAAATCAGTGTGTATAACTAAAAGTTACAGGTCACTGTAGAATAAATTCATACACTTAACATATTATAACCTATAACAAAATGTATCAAACTCGAGATATTAATGTAAGTAAGTAAATAATTATTAATCGCTTAAAAAAATAGTATATACAACACGGCGCACACTGGTCCGAATCGACTTATTCTCTGGCCAAAACTCGAAAAGTGAATGTAATAATGTGAAAATTTGTATTTAAGGGTTATTGGGGTCGCTGATTACGAAATTGATATCAAAATTATTAAAGTCAAAATGGCGGACTAAAAATGGCGGACTTTTTTGACAAATAATTGGTTAATCGTCATGAAAATGTTAATTTTTAGGTTTCTGGGGTCGCTAATCACAAATTTGATATCAAAATTATTAAATTCAAAATGGCGCAACAAAAATGGCGGACTTTTTAAAAAAATATTTAGTAAATTCTCCTAAAAAATGTTAATTTTTAGGTTTTTGGGGTCACTCATCACGAATTTAATATTAAAATTATTAAATTCAAAATGGCGGACCAAAAATGGCGGACTTTTTTGAAAAATAATTAGTTAATTGTCCTGAAAATGTTAATTTTTAGGTTTTTGGGGTCGCTTATCACGAATTTATTATCAAAATTATTAAATTTAAAATGGCGGGCCAAAATGGCGGATTTTTTTAAAATAATTAATTAATCGTCCTAAAAATGTTAATTTTAGGTTTGTGGGATCGTTAATCATGAATTTAAAATCAAAATTAGTAAATTTAAAATGGTGGACCAAAAATGGCGGATTTAAAAAAAAATTATTTTTGGAGTCGCTATTCATGAATTTGATATCAAAATTATTTAATACAAAGCAATGTACCAAAAATGGCGGATTTTTTTTTAATTATTAATTTATTGTGAATATTAGGTTCGGCCTAATTCGGTTGTAACCTTAAGGTTACTAATTTAATATTATTTTAATAATTGTCAAATGGGAAATGAAAAAATAAAATACACTTGCGTACAAAATTTCAATGTTTAAAATTATACTATTACATTAAAAGTCATAGTCATCAATGTCTATTTCTTCAGCTGCACTTAATAGGTTCAATGAGCTCAATGACAGCAGGATGCAATGATTCATTACATTTCACCTTTAATTTTTGTAAGCTTATAATAAGCGGGTCCGAGGTTACAAGGAGCCGACAAAAAACGTCCGACATTGACTTTTCTCGAGAAGATTTTCTTGAAAAATTTTCGCGGTACTGACGAATATCTTTGCATAAATAATTTTTTCTGTATATTTGTTATCCTATTATAAAATCTTAAAAAATATATTTACTAAGCATCACTGCGTTTAACCGCGACTACTGTCTCAAATCCGGGCACGAACGTGTATATTATTGTTTTATTAATTTTCGCGCAAGTGGCTGCAGCCAATTTTTTAAGAACCTTATAATAGACACTTCAATGAACGTTTCCCCGTAAAAAACGTCTTCCGCAAATGCCCACATTTTAACTTATTCCAAGTAAAAAAAACGAAAAAATCGAAAAAAATTTAAAATCAGGCCATTATGTTAGTATAAATTTTAACAACAAATAATTTTTTTTTCAAAAATGTAATTTTATAAAATTATTGTACATACCTTCAGAAACATTTTCCATTTTGAACTGATAAAATAGAAAAAGTCGTTAACGAAATAATAGCACTTTTGTTGCACAATCAAAATGAACACAATAACTGTTTCCAAGCAATTGCAAAAAAGGGTTAAATAAAACTGCCCTAGGGATCAGGTAGGGCGATTTTATACCTAAACTCTTTGGTTTTTAAATACTTCAAACATTTCTCTACCTGTATGAATTAAAATAATGTCATAATTAATAACTTTATTTTTGGGGTTTTGGCCAAGGTCAAGCACGATTCGGACCAGTGTGCGGCGCGCCGCGGCGGAGAAAGCATAATTATACTTATTTGTGATACATTATAGGGTATCCGGAATTTGGTTCGAAATAAATTTGTTCGAAAGAAAATTATTCGAAGGAAATTTGTTCGAAAAAATTTGGTCGAATGGAAATTTGTTCGAAAGAAATTTGTTCGAACGTAAATTTGTTCGAACGGAAATTTGTTCGAAGGTTGTTTAATTTAAGCTCATTTAATAAAATAAAAACAATTGTAATCCTTTTTGAAAAGATATTCTATTCGCAAGGTAATTTATTATTCAAAATATTAAAATAATTTTAATCCTTTTCGGAAGGTATTGTATTTGCAAGGTATTTATTATTAAAAATATTAAAATAATTGTAATCCTTATTTATCTCTGCATGTACATAAATTGGTATAAATTCCCTTACAACAATTGACAGCCTTAATTTATCTTGCTATTTCTTCGATTGAACATGGCTCTAAATTTTATTAAAAGTTCGAAAGGCAAAAATCTTTTGTCTCTCAACGGTTTCATTTATACTTCCGACAAAGTTAGTGAAGACAGAATTTATTGGAAGTGTGAAAATTTAAAAAAAAATTCCGGTAAAGGACGTGCAATTACATCAGGTGAAACAGTCATCAAAGAAAATAACTTGCATAATCATTCAGGAGATGCAGCAGGTATTGAGGCCAGAATTGTATATGGATCCATGAAGCAAGAAGCAGAAACCGGCCGTGATCCATGCAAAATATATGGTCGAAAACGGCAAGAAGCAAATCTAACGAAAACCTCATTTTCTTCATAACGTAGAAAATCATAACAACCGTGCAAGATAACCATAATTTTTTACCAATGTTTTTGAAAATGTAATACCGATATTTCAAATTATACTTTTATTCTAAATTTTAACTATATTGACTTAATACTTCTTTATTTTTCATTTTTTAAAAGTGTATCATATGTAGTTGACTAGCAAAAATATAATTTTTGACAATTTTTACAATTTTTTTTGTAAATGCCAAATTGAACGTAAATATTTTCGAGTATTATAATATATTCAAAATGTTCGTTATTAAATTTTTTACAAGCTTACAAAATTTTGACGCTTTTATGTACTCTCTAAAAATGACTAATTTAATAGTTATTAGTGGCTGCGTTTTCACTTGTACCATGGTTAACCATGGGATACCATGGTATCCCAAAATTGAACAGCCAATTCTTATGTAAAATTTTCCCCTGAATCCGAAAATGTCGTCAAAAGTTAAAAAACTAGAACAGTTCTTGAGATATTTTCAATTTTCCATTTAATATGTAATTGACTATGGTACAAGTAAAAAATCAGCCACTAATAACTATTAAATAAGTCATTTTTGACTAATTCATTTTTAGAGAGTACTCGCAGAGTTCTCTCGACCATCAAATATTTTGTCGCATTGAGGAGGATGCAAGTTTTGACCTTGGCAGCAGGTGAATAAAGGCTTGTTGGGCTTCTTTGGTTATATCTGTTATATGTTTAACATAATATGTTAAGCATATAAGCATATATTATAATTACATTAATATTTTTAACAAATTATCATTTGGGAAAATTTCTACAAAGGCAACGCATACCAGACTGACTGGATAAAATGTAATACTAAAAAGCTTGTTTTGATCGATGGTTTCGTTGCTTGTGTGGCACGTAGCGCCGTCTTGTTGAAAGTAAACGTTGGTATTGATCTGAACAACGCGTTGTTCAGATCAATACCATCCAATTCCGCCCATAAAAAATCATTAATCATCTCTCGATAGCGCAATCCATTAACCGTAACTGTTGCTCCAGCCTCATTTTCGAAAAAGTAAGGTCCAATGACCTCGCCGGACCATAAACCGCACCAAACAGTTACACATTGAGGATGGAGAGGCTACCGAGGTAGAAATGGGCCTCATCAGTCAAGATGATTTTTTGATGCATCTCAAGCACCCAATCAGCAAAGACACGATGATGATCGGCCGGCTTAAGTTCTTGTGTTAACTGAACTTTATAAGCCCAAGTCTTTATGCAAAATACGGTGTAATGACGTTTGTGGAATGCCCAATTCCAAAGAACGACAAGGAATGGACAAACCTGGGTTTTCTTCAACACTTTGGGCTACAGCAGCAATATTCTCAATTGTTCTAGAGCGACGTGCACGGGTTTTATTCTTTACATCACTAACTTGTCCCAACAGCTCGAATTTTTCCACCAATTTCTGTATTGCGGTCCGACAAGGTGCTTCACGACGACCCAAAAATGTTTTAGTTTTACGAACCGTCTCTGCCAAATTTTCACCATTTTTATAGTGAATTTTAATAATTTCAATTCGTTGTTGAAACGTGTATCGTTCCATTTTTATTAATGGCGTAGTTTCTACTTGTCAAATGTCAAACAATTACAGCTTCAAAAGTGACATCTACCGAAATTTTTGAAATTAGGGGATACAGTGAATTGGGTTAAAGTTACGAAACAGATCAGTAAGTATACTTAATATATTGTAGTGATACTGATATTTTACGAAATTTCTTTATAATTTGATGATTTCAGAATGGTGCTCAAGTCAAAAATGACTAATTTAATCACTTTTCTCGCAATTTTATAAGGCATATTATAAACAACGTTAAAAAGGGTTTATTAATAATAATAATAAAAAAATAATTCTAATAAACCGTTTCTTAAAGCCTACAATTGAGCGAAGTAAAAAAGACACGTCTCAGCCGAATGGCAATTTGTAGGCCTTTGCTAATACGTCGGCCTTTAAACTTTAAGATCAGCACAAAAATCAGCATTATATATATGTTATAATGTTTATATTATTACACTCATAAGTCTATAAAAATACTATTTCAAAAGTCAAATTATTATAAACCTCCGTACAAAAATAATGCTAAAATTTTATTATTTCAGTTGAACCTAACCTAAAAATGATGTGACAGAATCTTAAAGAAATATTCTAATTAAATGCTTGAAAAAAAAATTATACAAAACCCGGCGGCGAAAGCTTAATAATTTTCCCGCATACAATTTACTAAAATGTATGCTATTAATTAACCTAATATGAGTGGGTATAATTTATACCATATTAAATATTATTTTATGCCATTTGTTTAGTTAAATAAAATTATCCTAAATTAAAATTAAAATACTCGTAGCTATTTTAATGTTTTATAAATATTTTAAATTAAAAATTATGAAGACTGCTTCCCAACTTTGACAATTTAAGGCAACCATGTTTTCCTGGGGGCGACTGAAAATTGGTATAAACTGTATAAATAAATAAATTTTATATAATATACAAACAGTAAAAGGTCTATATAAAACACGGCAAAATGTTTAAATTTCAGAGATATAGCTTTTTGCATGTTATCCGTAATATACATTTTTAATGAAGATTAAATTAATTTAATTGGCATCCTCCTCTTAAAATTAAATAACCTTATAACTATTAAATTTTTTACATTTTAAGTGTAATAAAAAAAAAGGAAAACTCATTGAAACCCTCGCCTTGATAGGATATTCCATTGGAAATGTGTATAAAAATATAATGAGAGGGTGGATGAACAACCAGTCTCGAGTATTTCAAGCAGTCCCTTTTGGCGCACATAATGTACTGGGTACTTTAAAAACAATTGCTTTTTCGAGTAAATTATACTCTTGATCTTTTGTTTAAATTTTTCAATGAGTGAAGAGGAAGTATTTTTGAATACATTTTTGTAATTTTTTTTAATAAAATCAACTTAAGTGTTATTATATTTAAAATGATAAAATCTCTGACATAAAAAACAACATTGTGTTATTAATATAATGAATAATTAGTATGTACAAAATTTTAGCGGTCTTATATAAACACAGCAAACTAATTTTTTTATTTGAAACTTTAATCCCATTACAAATTTTTTTCTAAAAATACGCGTCCAGCTGAAATAATGATACCTTATACGAGCCCCAACAACTTATTGTTCGGACGATACCAATATTCAGAAATATTTACTCATTTCTCATTCAAGAAATATTATTTAAATTTAAAATTAAAATATTTTATTTTTACACGCTTAGAATTCACATATACTTAAATAGGATTTGTGGGCCTTTATAACAGCTCTTATCCTGGCTGGCATGGATTCCATTAAGGATCTACAATAATCTGGTGTAAAAGATTCCCATATTTCTGACATTTTTGTATTCAAATCATTAGTGGTTCTTTAAGGATTATTTCCTAAATATCTTTTCATGCGGTGCCACAAGGTTTCAATAATATTGAGGTCTGGACTACTTGAAGGCCATGACAAAACTCTCATAGTGTATTTTTGGTTGTTCTTGCAGTGTGGCTTGATGCTCCATCTGGTTGAAAGATTCAATTACCATCGGGATAAAGATCTTATACACTGTGAATAAGGCTGTTTTGTAGAATTTGTTGATATTTATTTGCATTAACTATTCCATCTGTTATTTCCATATGCCCCACACCTAGACACAACCCCAAATCATTACCCCCTTTGCAAATTTTACAGTCCTTTTTAAACAGTCTTTATGGAATGCTTCAGTTTTATCCCGAATAATTCGTTTTCTACAATCACCTACACACACGTAAAATTTGAATTCATCGCTATATACGACTTTGACCCAGTCTTCTGCTGTCCAGTGCAATTTAGACCAAGCCCAAATTAGACGGTTTTTCTTCTGTGCTTTTGTTAATAGCGGTTTTTCATTTGCCTTTAATGAAATAAATAATAAAGTTTAAAAAAATTTAAATAGATTTTTGTTTTATTCCTTATAAAAACTAGTAATTTTTTATACCTTTTAAAAACTTAGTCCGGATTTATGAATCCACTGTCTACAACACTCTCGCGAAATGTTTAGCGTTAAAAATCGCCGTTACTTCCCTTGAAGTGAATCTTCGATTATTTTTAAGTCCTTACGAGCTGCCTCCTCATTTTAGGAGTAGATCTATAGTAGATTTCGCCAATTTTTTTCCAATAGTTCTCATGCTCTTTCTAGCCTTACCACGAGCCATTTTTAATACGGTAAATTAGAGACCAATATAAAACAACGCCACAAGATTAATTAATTTGACACTTCTTTAACTTAAATCATAACCACTTTGATGACAATAAATTAAAAACGTTAGTCATCCGAACTTTAAGTTGCCAACATAATTTGTTAATTTTTTATTTGTTTTACTTTATTTGTTCAATTTTTATTTAAATAAAATCTTATTAAAGTATATGTGACTTCTAGGCGTGTAAAAAATAAAATATTTTAATTTTAAATTTAAATAATATTTATTAAATGAGAAATGAGTAAATATTTCTGAAAATTAGAATCGTCCGAACATTTTGTTAGGGCTCGTATTATTGCCCATATTAGCAAGTACATCTCTTTTCTTCAAGGGAATACTTTAATAGCGTTTTTTTAATTTCCAAAGTTTTACTTAAATAATTTAGCCAATTTAAAAATAATTATATTTATTTTATTGTACCTTATTATCATGTGTGATAAACGCCATTTTAGTCACGAGTGTTTAATAAAATTAGTGTCTAGAAAAGTTTATAAACGAGTTGCATTCTATTATTTTTCTACGACAAATACTTATTATTATTTAAAAATGATTTAAATTTAATATTTGTATAGAGCTACATCTATAAAACAATGGAGTAACCAACTTGGGAATCTGTATTACCGGCGACCCGGTCAAAATGTCAAATTTGTATGTTTAAATCAGCATTTATTCATTGAAAATGGACTAACCTCCGTTTAAATTCAATATAGAAACAGTTTTTCAAAGTGAA